ACCCGGAGAGTGCCGTTCTGATGCTGACACAAACATTCTCCCTCATCTATCTTTTTCTCCCTCTAAACTTCATCTTTCCATCTTTAAAACTCTTCTATCAAGTAGAAATTAAACCAGATATTTTTAGAAATGTCTGAAGCAAAGTTTTTCAACCACCGCCTTGTGGTTAATGTCTGTTGTACTACTGCTAGCTAGAAAACAATCGCCGTATTGTTTACTTCCTGTAAAACTGCTAAATTAGCCATGTTGTTATTTTCCATATTTTGCCAATTAATGTAAATGTGTGATGTGTTATACTTTGATTCTGTTAATAAATGACCCACTGTCGTTGGTGAGTCAAAGATAATTAACGTCTCACGTTACATTTTATTAAATTCAGATGCACGTCATTATACAGTCCAGAAAAATGAAAGAATCCGTTTAATTTATGAATATATATCAGTATATGTTCATACTACACATGTGTGGGTTTTCTCCAGGTACTCCAGTTTCCTCCCACAGACCAAAAACATGTATTTTAGGCTGATTGGTAACTCTCAATTGTCCTAGGTGTGAGTGAGAGAGTGAGTGTTATTTGTCTCTGTGTCCTTGTGATGGACTCGAGACCTGTCCAGGGTGTCCCCCGCCTCTCGCACAGTGATGGCTGGACATGGGCACCAGTGACCCCCACGACTCGAAAATGACAAAGCAGGTAAAGATAATGGATGGATGGATGATAACCTGGTGAACTGGTGCCGGGTCAACGGTCTTTCTTCCCACTGCTCATTTCACCACTGTGATCAGATATTTGTCCTCATGTCATAGAACGGTTTACTTTTCTTTCAATTAGGACATGTGCCTTCTGGCCTGAGGGTCCATCCAAACCTGGAGCACCTGATCTATCCTCTGGGGTGCACAGTAATTCTGAAGAGAATTGTAGATGGCGAACAGGAGTTCTTGCATGGACACACAAACAACGTGTCTTGCATTTCAGTGTCCAAAAGTGGATCATTCATCGCCTCAGGCCAAGTCAACTTTATGGGTTTTAAGGTAGAGAAAATTTCAGACTTCCCTTATTTGTAAAGTTTATCTCACAACTGTGGCACACATTTGTATATGCATGAACATAATTTTCTAGGCAGCAGTAATTATCTGGAACTACACACAACGAACAATACATGCCCAGCTGGATCTGCACAAAGCTAAGGTGGAAGCAGTTGCCTTCTCCCCCAATGACAAGTACCTGGTGTCTTTAGGAGGTGTGGATGATGGCAGGTAAACAGCAAGCCCCCTCCAACGTGAGCAGCAGGAAGAAACTCAGATGGTAGTGAGTGAACTGTCTGCTGTGTGTTCGCAGTATAGTTGTGTGGAATATCGAGACCAAGCAGTCCATCTGTGGGAGCCCAGTTTCAGCCTACGGAACCGGTCACTGCCTCACTGTGCAGTACTCCAACACCAATGACAACTTGTTTGTTTCAGCTGGGAGGTGAGTCAGGTATCTCTGTGGCATAAAGATGTAACATCTCTGGGGTGACGAAGTTTAATTTATTTTATTTTATAACCTTACTGGTCTTTTTGTGCAGTGGAAAAGTACAAGTCTGGGAACTGAATGTCACCGACAGAAAGATCAGGCCTACGGAGTGCAACACCAGTAGACTGAAGAGGATTGTAAAATGTATTCAGGTATGAAGGCATGCTTGGTCAGACATTTTAACAAGTTTACAGTTGTTGAAGTTTGAGTCCTGTATAATGTTGCCAGTAGAAAGTTGTTGAAGTTTCATTAAATACAGTGGCTTTGGAAACTGTTCATAATATATACAT